GTCTTGGCGTGTAGTATGTTTCTAGAAATTTGTCCATTTCTTACAGGTTGTTCACTTTGTTGGCATTTAACTGTTCATAGTACTCTTATGATTTTTTGGATCCCTGCTGTACTGGTTATTCCTCCTCTTTCATTTCTTCTTTTGTTTATTTGGGTCCTCTCTCTTTTCTTCTTGGTGAGCCTGGATAAAGGTTTATCAATTTTATTTAACTTTTCAAACAACTAGCTCTTGGTTTCATTGATCTTTTCTATTTTTTTGGTCTCTATTTTATTTATTTCCTCTCTGATTTTTATTATTTTCCAACTTCTGCTGACTCTGGGCTTTGTTCTCCTTTTTCTAATTCTTTTAGGTGGTAAGTGGGGTTGTTTGAGAATTTTCTTGTTCCTTGACGAAGGCTCATATCACCATAAACTTGCCTCTTTAAACTGCTTTTGCTGCATCCCATACATTTTAGAGACTGTATTTCCATTTTCATTTGTCTCAAGGTATTTTCTGACTTCCTCTTTTTTTCTTTGATCCATTGCTTTTTTCAGTGGCATGTTGTTTAGTCGCATGTGTTTGTTCTTTTCCCATTTTTCTTTCTGCAATTGATTTCTAGTTTCATACCGTTGGGGTCAGAAAAAATGGTTGATATAATTTCTATCCTCTTGAACTTGTTGAGACTTGTTTTGTGGCCTAGCGTGTGATTTATCCTGGAGATGTTCCATGTACACTTGAAGAGAATGTGTATTCTGCTGTTTTCAGATGTGATGACCTGTAGATATCTATTAAGCCCAACTGCTCTATTGTGTCATTTAAGATCACTGTTGCCTTACTGATTTTTGGTCTGGATGATCTGTCCACTGATGTAAGTGGGGTGTTAAAGTCCCCTAGTATTATTGTCAATTTCTCCCTTTACGTCCGTTAGTATTTGCTTTATGTATTTGGGTGCTCCTGTACTGGATGCATACATGTTAACCGGTGTACTACCTTCTTCTCGTATTGATCCCTTTATCGTTATATAATGCTCTTCTTTGTCTTTTATTATAGGCTTTGTTTTAAAAGTCTATTTTGTCTGATATGAATACTGCTATCCCAATTTCTTGCCATTTCTGTTTGCATGAAATATCTTTCTATCCCCTAACTTTCAGTCTGTGTGTGTCTTTAGCTTTAAAGTGAGTATCTTGTAGGCAGCATTTAGATAGATCTTTTTTAAATCCAATCAGCCACCCTATGTGTTTTGATTGGAGCATTTAGTTCAATGACATTTAAAGTAATTATTGATAGATATGTACTTACTGCCATTTTATTACTTGTTTTCTGGGTTTTTTTTTTTGGTAGTTCTCTGTTCATTTCTTCTTCTTTTTGTTTCTTCCCTTGTGGTTTGACGATTTTCTTTAGTAGTATGCTTCTGTTCCTTTCTTTATATGTTTTGTGTATCTATTGTAGGTTTTGGATTTGTGATTACCATGGGGTTCTACGTTGACTGTAACTATATCTACTTGTTTTAAATTGGTATTCATTTAAGTTCAAACTCATTCTAACGGATCTGTATTTTTTACTCCTTCGCCACATTTTGTGTTTTTGATGTCATATTTTAATCTTCATGCTTCTCTCCTTATTGCTTTTATAATTTTTTTGTCTTTTAATCTTCATACTGGCTTATTTAACTGGTTGATCTTCAGTACTTCATATATATGTGGCTTTCCCAGGGGGATTTTCCCTTTCCTATAGATTCTTACTTCTTTTCCACTTAGCGAAGACCCTTTAACATTTCTTTTAGGGTTGGTTCAGTATTGATGAACTCTTAGTTTTTGCTTGTCTGAGTTCTTTATCGCTCCTATTCTAAGTGATAATCTTGTTGGGTAGCATATCCTAGGTTGCAGGTTCTTCCCTTTCAGCACTTTGAATATATCATGCCACTCCCTTCTGGCTTGCAAAGTTTCTGCAGAAAAATCAGCGGATAGCCTTATGGGGTTCCACTGTATGACTTATTTTTCTCTTGCTGTCTTTAGAATTCTCTCTTTAACTTTTATCATTTTAATTATGATATGTCTTCATGTGGGTCTGTTTGGGTTCATCTTGACTGGGACCCTCTGTGCTTCCTGTACATGGATATCTGTTTCCTTCTTCAGATTTGGAATGCTTTCAGCCATAATCTCCTCAAATACATTTTAGATCTCCTTTTCTCTCCCTCTCTCAGACACCTATAATGTGAATGTTGGTAGACTTAATGTAATCCCAGAGATCCCTTAAACTGTTCTCATTTTTTAAAATTTGTTTTTCTTTTTACTGCTCTGATTGGGCAATTTCCATTATTCTATCTTCCAGACGAGTTAGGTATACTTCTATTTCACTTAGTCTATTATTCATCCCTTCTAGTGTGTCTTTTTTTTCATTTCACTTATTGAATTTTTCATTTTCATTGGGTCTTTTTTATACTTTCTAGTTCCTGGTTAAAACTCTAACTGTGTTCATCTACTCTTTACTCTAGTTTAGTTAACATTCTTATTACCAATGCTTTGAATTCTTTATGCAGTAATTTGTTTATTTCTGTTTCATTATTTTTTCAGGGGTTTTCTCCTGTTCTTTCGATTGAGACCAGTTCCTCTGCCTTTTCATTTTGCTAAACTTTCTCTGCCTCTATGAATTTAGGTGAAAAAGTGACCTACTGCAGTCTTGAAGGGGTGTTCTTACATGGGAGTACCCCTATACAGGCTGCGTGTGCCCAGTGCCTTTGGCGGGAGAGCTGGATTTGATGTGAATGCAAGTCACCCTTTCCTCAGGGTGTGCTAGCAGCTATCACCTTGGTATGGGTGGGGCTGGAGATGAAGGGGCCAGAGCTGAAGGCGGGTGTGAGGTGGGGCTTCCTCTCTGCTCGGTGGCCATCACCTCCCTATCAGGGGTGGAGTCTGATGCCAAGGTGCTGAAGTAGAAGCCCTGAGGTTCAGGCCCGAGCTGGCTCTGTTCCTTTAAGTGTGTGCTTTCCCTTCTCCCAGCACTGGGACCCTTACCCCAGAGGACGAGGGAGTGCTGAAGCAAGGACAGAGGATGCAGGCTCTCAGCTTGTGTAGCTTGACCACAGAGATCTGAGCTGTCTCCAGTGCACTGTCTGTACAGGCACCAACAATTGTTTCCCTCGCTCTGCTCAGATGCAGCCTTGGGTCCAAGTACCCTTTTGCCCCTCACAGTCATTCATTGCCCCCAATCTCCTCCACCCCTGCCTTGCTGCGGCACCCTTGGCAGGTGGAGCCTGCGTGACCTCTCAGCACGTACTGGAGGGTGAGTTGTGGTTGAGTGGCCGCCGTCAGAGGTCTGGGCTGCTTCTGATGCACTGCTTGAGTAAGTGCCAACAATGGCCACCGCCTCCCCCACTGCCCAGGCTCCATCCTGGGACCAGGTCGCCTCTGTGTCACACAGTCTTCTCTCTCGTGTGGCCACCCCAGCTCCAGTGCCATCTTGTGACATGGAGTAAGTGGGGCTAGAGCATTTGCTGGGCTAGGGCTGGCACGTGCTGAGGCAGCTGCAGGAAACCTCTGTCCGTCCTCTCTGCCCTGCCTCAGGAGCAAGCCAGGGCACACATGCTCCACACAAGCAGGGTCTAGGCCTTCCACAGCTCTCCTGTTGGTGCCAGTGGTCCTCCAACCTAAAAAGGGGGCTTGTTTCCCCTGTGTATAACTCCACGACTCAGGTGCCCAATCTGTGGCTCTCACCGCTCACTTCCCAGGGCAGGTCTCCACTTGTGCAATCTCCCTTTTCCTCTGAGTCCCCTCCCAGGGGTCCCTACCTGATCCCTTTTCTTCCCTTCCTACCCGATTACATGTGAATCTTTCTTACAGTCTTGGTTGTACAGGAGTCTTTCTGCCAGCTTCCAGTTGGTTTTCGATGAGAATTGTTCCACAGTTAGATGTATTCTGGATGTGTACATAGGGGGAGGCGAGTCCCACATCGTCCTACTGGGCCATCTTGATCAATCCTCCATATTACTCTTCTTTAATAAGAATTACTAAACTCAAACTAGGTATTTTTTTTGCCTGCTGAACATTGAGACTTACAGCTACTCTCATGCAAGTGTTAAAAGTAGTGTTGGAGATACAGTAGTATCAAACTAAGCCTTTTTTAGAAAGATTGAAAGGAAATTGAAAAAATTTTAAAACTTCATTATATAATCCAATGTTATTTAGTGTCATGCTTGTAAAATTGTTTCAAATGTTGTTCCATGTAAAATTGTTTCAAATACTAAACCATGGTCTCAAACCCTCAAGAGGGAAACAGTGAGATCTTCTACTAATAAAAACTGTACACAGAGTAACACATGCACTCTGGTGATACTAAGCATGAGGCTTATCTTTAAAAGTACAAGACCCCAGCATTCAGACAAGTTACGCCCAGACTTCTCTTCTAAGAATGACAAGAATACCGATGGGGGAAAGGGACAGAGAAATAAGTCATCAACTCAAACCTAAGGAACACAAGAAATGACCCTGTCCGTAGTTTATCAAAATCATTATTTGATTAAACAGATGAGATTAGTGTAGACAGACTGACAGAGGCAAGCTAAGTGTTAGGGAAGGTAAAAAGGAGGTTGGATACATGTTTTCTAGTTTTAAAAGAAATCAATGAAAATAATGAATAGCACTTGAAAGTCAAAAGGCACGGAGGAGAATCTGAACTTCAATTAGGAATGAGAAACACTCTACACAGGGAAGCAGCCGCACAGCACAGGGGGATCAGCTCTGTGCTTTGTGACCACCTAGAGGGGTGGGACAGGGAGGGTGGGAGGGAGACACAAGAGGGAGGAGATATGGAGATATATGTATATGTATAGCTCTTTCACTTTGTTATACAGCAGAAACTAATACACTGTTATAAAGCAATTATACTCCAATAAAGATGTTAAAAATAGAGACAGTTATTTAAAAAAAGATAATATTTGATAAGCTTTTTCTACCAGCAACCATGTAACTCTTGTTAAAGAAATAAAAAGCTCTAAAAACTTAAGAACAGTACGTAGCACTTACTGGTAATGAACCCAGGATGGTCCAAGAGTTTTCTTGAATTGAGCGAGTCCTACAATATCAATATAAATGAGCTCAACAATTCTGTCTCCTACAGTTGGGCAGCCAGATCGGTTTCCTACAACCTTCTTCATTATTCTAGAGAAAGGACAGAAGAGAGGGAAAAAAAAAAATACAATTTACTGCAAGGTACTGCACTTAGCAACTTTAACAGGTAAATAAACATCCCAAGAATCCTTATCAGGGAGGATGGCATGGCCCTTCCCAGTCAGCTGCCTATCCAAGTTCTGCCCACTCATCACGTCCATCCAAAGCCTCAATTCTGACTCTTGCAAAAGCAAATGGTGGTATACAAACACAGCCTTGGAAACCAAGGGAGATCTGGGTCTCAATCTGTCTCCATTTAATTTGCTGGTCAAGAAGATTAGGGAGGTCTTTAAGTACTGGTGACAGGGCCAGATGTGTTTTATTTAAACAGATCATTGTAGAAGCAACATGAAGCAGTGGGTCCCAAACATGCCTGCACATTAGAATCACCTGGGGATCTTTTCCAACTTCCCAAGACCAGACCATATCCCAGACTAATTAAATCACACTCCACTGTCTAGCAGCTGTGAGATCTTAGAAAGTAACTTAACTTCTCTGAATCTTTCCTCATTTAAAACACACACACACACACACACACACACACACACAAAACAGGATTGGATACAGAGAAGACGGTAGGACAGCAACCTCTCAGGAATTCTTCAGGTAGTTAAATTAGGTATTCAGTGGAAAGTACCTATGTATACTAGATATTCAGTACCTATTAGTTTCTCCCAGAGACTGTTCTTATCATACAGCCCTTACTGACCTCCTAAATGTCTTCCATTTCTAGCCTCTACAATATAAACTTCTTTCTGTACTGTCCTGTACTGTTCGCAAATTTCTTTTATGTCTAATTTTTCCTTCTGACTACAATGTATCACAGAACTGGCACTATAGTTTATAAGTTTTCCTTATCCTTCCTTCCATCCACCCACCCATACAAACCCAGCCATCCATCCAAACCCACCCTTGCACTGAGCCAACATGCTTGATCGTACATCAATTTCACATGGGTGGGGCAAATAAGTGCTACCCATACTGCCATTCACCCAGAAATCAGTCATCATTGGCCTTTGTATCCCTGCTCACACCCCGTAACAGTCCTTCACCAGATTATGGACACCCTACTCCAAAGGGCAAGAGTCATCAATAGGGCTCTGCCCCAGAGCTCCATACTGACACTGCCCCAGGCACCCTTTTCTCCACTGGGTTTCTGAAAGACGTAGGTTCCATATAAGCAATTTCTTCCCAACGATTTGAAAATGTTTTCTGTAAAGGCCCAGGTAGTAAACACTTGCATCTCTGCAGGCCACACATTCTCCGTCACAGCTATTCAGCTCTGCTCTTGGAGAAGGAAAGCAGCCACGGGTGTGGCTTTGGGCCCGGGATACTTGATTAGCAAAAAACGCACAGGACTGCATTTGGCCTGCTCAGCCATCGTCGCTGACTCCTGGTCCACCCTGTATTCAGTGGTTCCCAAACCTGCCTGCACTTTGGAATTACCTGGAAGCATCAACAGATACTTATGCCTGAGTCCTACCCCCATAGGTCGTCATTTAGTTAGTCTGGGATATGGTCTGGGCTTAGAGAGCCTAAAAAGATCCCCAGGTGATTCTAATGTGCAGGCATGTTTGGGAACCACTGCTCCATGTTGCTTCCACAAGTATCTACTCAAATAAAACACATCTGGCCCTGTCACCAGGGCCTAAAGACCTCCATAATCTTCTTGACCAGCAAATTAAGTCTCTGCCTGGTAGATCCCTAATATGCCTTTTTGGAGCTCCCTGGGGAGCGCCTATCCCCAGAGCTCCCACTGTACTCCATTTCTTTACCCCCGACTCATTCATTCATCCCTTCACTCATTTGTTCAGTAAATAGTTATGGGCACCCACTGTGTGCCAGGCACTGTTCTAGGTGCTCAATACACAGTGGTGAGCAATATTCACAGATTCTGCACTCCCTGCGCTGAGCAGCCTCACCTCAATTGGAACTAATCACATTGCAATTAGTGTCAACATTGTGCAACGTATCAGTGGTAATTATCAAAAGGTTGGCATCTCCTTGGCCACACACTGGTCATCTCTGTATGTCCCATACCAAGAAGCAGCCCACAGAGAGCACAGAAGGAATGAACACTCAATGTATGAAGGCACCCACTTCGTACGTTGTGTTCCCCAGTGTGTTTTAAAAGAAGCTGGAGGAAGGCAACAGGAGGCAGCTGTTAAAGGGACAAAAGTGGTGAAGGGCTCAGAAGACCTCAGGTTTATCGAGTTCTGAACGGAGCACTGTGGTCCGGTGGTCAAGAGCACAGGCTTTGAGGTCAGACAGACAGAGGGCTCAAATCCTGGCTCTTCCACGTACTCTCCATGGGACTTTGAGGAAATCTTTTTTGGTCTGAATCTCAGTTTCCTCATCTTTAAAATGCAGAAAGCAACAGTGCCTACTTCCAGGTTTGCACTAAGGACTAAATAACATAAAACATGTAAAACACTTAGTAACTGGTGCATGGGAAGCGCTCAACAAATGTTAGCTTTTTTTTTTTTAATATTTATTTATTTTGGCTGCTGCGGGTCTTAGTTGCAGCACACAGGATCTTTGTTGAAGCATGCAGGATCCTTAGTTGCGGCATGCAGACTCTTAGTTGTGGCATGCATGCAGGTTCTAGTTCCCCGACCACGGATCGAAGCCGGCTCCCCTGCGTTGGAAGCGAGGAATCTTACCCACTGGACCACCAGGGAAAACCCCCAAATGTTAGCTCTTAATAGGCATCATCACTGTTATGGTTGTTGTAACTGTTGATACTACCACTGTAACTAAAGCCCGGCTCGTGGTTTCAGTGTATGGAAATCATTTAACAAAAAGAGAGCTGACATTATTTTACGGATATTACTGCTTTCATCCCGATACTGCAACTAATTCGTTGTGGACCTCAGACTTAACACAAGTGACCTCTCTGGGCATCAATGTTTTAGACAATAAAGTAGGAGCAGGGTGAGACATACATTGTCTTAACACCTCTTCCATTTCTAGAATGTTCCTTCAAGCTATTTCTCTTGGAACAGTTGACATATTGCTAGATGTTAACTTGGCTGTTGGGCAGAGAGTCTCCATGGGCAGTTATCCAAAAAGGAGGGAAGGGACTCTAAGCATTTCTGCTTAGCCAGTCGTGTCAATCTAAAAGGGATTAAGAGAGGGCTTGAGCTAGAAGCACATTTCAGTGAAATCAAAAAACCTAGGCAGAGTTGAAAGTGGGCTAACTGAAATAGGATTGGATCAGGGCTTTCGAGAAACTCATTCTATCCAAATTAAATTGCAAACAGGAACCTGCCCCGTTTGAAGATTTAGAAAGCTTGCTGTTGAGTGGGGAAGGGTATGAGTTTCAGCAAGAGACAGGGAATTAGGAAAGTCAATAATGTTGCCTGCTGCAGATGCTGGAAGCACCTGTAACAGCAAAGAATAAGCTCCTTAGTTTGAGTTTTCTGGCATTCATTTATCAAGCCTCTGGAGCCTGCAGCTACAATGAAAACATATTAGCCTTTTCACAGTGTATGTATTTAGCTTCTGAAAATAATCTTCTTATCTCCTGTTTCATGAATTATCACTTTCATTTTCCTCCACAAGAAATTACACACCAAGAGAGGGCTTTAAGAGTTTACAATTTCTTTTTTGTATTCTGATTTTAAAATTGAAAAATAATCTCCTTACTCCTTGAGCTCCGCCAGTGAAGCTGAAATCCTAATGTCATGGCCCAGTAAGTACAGAGATGTAATTAAATCACTCCACTGAACTAATTCACCAAGAGGGCCACCACTGAAAGCTGTCTCTGCAATCTTAAATCCAGATTCCTTAGTCAGGAGGCCCAGGTGAACAAGGACCTGAAAAAACAAAAAAAGAAAAAAAAAAAAGAAGAGGCACATACTGATTCCCGTCAGACAAAGTACAAACTCCACAGTAACCTACCCAAAAGCCACCACCAATTCCAAAGTCATGTTTACGTTCTAATGAAATCTCAACATGGGGTAAACAATTTTTCTAGAAGGTACAGAGGAAGGAAGGAAATGACTCTTCATTGTTGTTTTAGAGAAATAAAGTCATTACTGCATTTGGTATGGCTATGAGTATGAGGTAGGGACAGATAATCCTGTTTTCCAAAAGTGGGGTACATTTGGAAAATCAGAATCAAAGGGGAATCAAGCAGGACGATAAAATATCTTTTAACTATATTGGGCTTTTTTCCCACAGCTGGAATACATTTAAGCTTTTAACACAGAAAATTTCGAACACTAACAAAAGCTGACATGACAATATAGTCAATTCCACTGTACTCAACAATTATTAACTTCAACAATTATTAACTCCTGACAAGTCTTATTTAATGTACATCCCTCATTTTCTCCCAACCCCTCTAGCTTATCTTGCAGCAAATCCTAGACAGCCCAACCTTTCACCTGTAAATAGTTCAGTTGGCATTTCTAAAAGAAACGAACTTTCACTTAAAAAACATAACCGTAACATCACCCAACGCCCCTGACATAGCTATTAAATCCTTAGTATTACCCAATATCCAGTTAGTCTATACACTTGCTCAATTGTCACTTATTTTTTTCAAGAGCAGTTGGTTGAGTCAAGTCAAATAAAGTGCACAAATTGTAATGCCTCATACATCTCTTCCTTAACCTACAGTGGTGCCCGATTATCCTTTTTTGGGGGGATAGAGGCTGGTAATTTATTTGTCAAAGAAATTGGGTTGCATTTCCAATAGAGTCTCTCACACTCTAGATTTTGCTGACTGTGTAACAGATTCTTCTGTCCCCTGTGTTTATGGTAAATTAGTAATCAGATCTGCAGCCATGATCAAATTTGTATTTGATTTTTGGGGCAATACTACTTCGCAGGTGGTGACGTGTACTTCCAGTGGTGAGAACGAAATCTGGGTGTTTCTGTTTTGTGATGTTAGCAGCTACTGATGATCACTAGCCAGATGCAATAATCCATTAGGGGTTGCAAATGGTGATATTCTATCATTCCTCCTGCATTTATTAGCTGCAATACTTCTATAAAGAGAAACTACCCCTCACGAAGGACAGCTTACATAGAAAAAACCTGGCAAATACTTGATTTTTTACTTGACAGTTTTCAAAATAACTAATTTGATCTTTAGCGTACTCTAATGATGACCAATGAGGATTTTAAATATATATATATCTCATTATAAAATCATGAATATAAGTATATTTGATGTGTTTCAATAACTGCAGTTATTATTCTTACTCATTACCAAATTGTACCATCTTGGGCAATGGGAGACTATTAAAGTTGGCTTCTAAGTTCTTTGACAAAACCCAGTAGTCTTCAATAGTTTCTTTGCTCTCTGACACGACAAGGCGTTCCAAGCTCATCTGGTACAATGTCTGTCTCAGGCCTTAATCAGCCATTTTTCCAAGAACCTTTTAGGCCATTTAGTGAAAATGGTATTTAAAGATCAAAGTCTGGTGCCTAGCATACTCTAGATGATCACTGTTTACAGGCCTTTTCAGTGGACATAGCTAGAAAATTTATTTTTCCTCAAGGATAAAAATAATCATGAGTTCACACTGGTTTTTCCAATTCAAACCCAGGATTACAGGAGCTTTATCAATTTTTATAACATTATCCATCTCACATCTGTTACTTCCTTTCTCTCTCCCACACTGAAAATTCCACTTCTCCAGGACACTAACATAATTGCTAATTTGCTTTATTCCCAGACACATAATGGATTCGGAAGGAGAATATCAACACCACCACCTCTTACAGGATTAGAAAAATTGTTTTAAGATATTTTTGCAGTTTTTTTTTATCATGTGTGATATCCCATCAGAAACGTTCAAAGTACTGTGCTCTGAAGTCACTAAGAATAGCCCTTCTCTGTGTGCTTAGAGTAAAAGTGGACACGTGGTCAGTTCATTTGCTTTATTTTTTCCTTATGATTTTGTTTTGTAATTAAATTGTTTTACACTTAAGTAAAATGATTCCAGTGTCAAATCTACAAAGCAAGATATATTCGGAGAAGTCTAGTTTCTATACTTGTTGCCTCCACACTACCCCCCCTGACTCCCCTTATCAGACATCTTTTTATTGTGGTAAAACATACATAAGCTTTACCATTTTAACCATTTTTAAGTGTACAGTTCAGTGGCATTAAGTACACTCACACTGTCGTGCAACCATTACCACCATCCATCTCCTTTATTGTTAATTGCATGCTTTGCTATTCCATTTAAAAAATCTGAGCAAGAAGCATATATGTATATCATGTATACATTATATATGTGTATATATGTGTGTGCATATGTATATATCTATAGGTACATATGTAGGTGTAGATACAGATATATAGATAAATTCCTTCTTCCTTTTAAAAATAATGTTCACTATTCTCCACCTACCATGTCTTCACATAACAATATATCCTGGAGATAACTGCAGAGGATTATATAGAAATTACTCTTTCTTTTCATAGCCCACCTGGATCTGTGACCACATACTCTTTCCTGGAGGACTCTTTAATGCCAGGATGTCTGGTCCTGCTGTCTCATAAACTCAAGGGATCTAAGCAAAACTGACTCATTAAACTGTGACTTGGGGTTCTGCACGTGTATCTGTATTTTTGCCCCAAAGGTATCAAATTAGTCAAATTAGGAATACTAAACTCATTTTTCATTTATTTTTAGATATGGGAACAGATTGTTTACTTTTCTCGTTTATTCTTCATCAGAATAGTTCATCTAACGTCATGGCCACTTGATGTATAACTAATAGGAACATAAGCAGAAGCACCACCAAACAGAACAGCAATGAAACTCACCAGTTAGTTGCCCAAATCCCAGAGCTGACACATACCAAGAATATGAAATTGTCATGATGATGTCAACAGGAAGTTCTTCCAGATTGTATTTGGGTAAAGAGCAGAGAATTACATTTCCTGATGCCACTGACACAGAGTCAGAGGGTTCATAGCAAAATCTGACAAGCAGATATTCTGCCTGGCTTCACCCAAGAAACATGTGTACCAGTTCCTGCTAAGTATAATTACTGTAACCGGGGAAAACGACAGCCCCAAACAATGGCTGTACAAGAAGAGACTGCACAGATTCACCCTGAGGGAATATCATTTGAGACATGACATTTCTCTTAGCCTGTCTCCACAAAAATCAAATTTTCAAGAAAACTGGCACCCAACTGAAGTGAATTAATCGGAAACTCACTTTCTTCCGCTTTCTCTTTTCAAGATTCTGCTTCTCTGCCAAGGACCTGATTGCCTGGATCCACGCATCAGCCATTCGCCGGATCCGTAGCCTCATCCATCGGAATTCTTCATGCTTTTTCATCATACTGTAGAGAATATTAAAATCCGTACGAATCTCTGCCTAGAAACAGAAATTTAATAAAAATGAGTAGAAGATAAGAGGTCCAAAAGCATAATGGTTTTCATGATGTGACATTTGAAAACTTGAAAGAGACAGTCAATTAAACACAGGGCTTCAAAAGCCTGGTCTGCTGAATAGCTTTGCTTGAAGCGCCCAGGACTGCAAATTGAGGCAAAGGCCTCTTGACTGCTGCGCTGCTATAAGGGACATCATTAAAAAATCAGAAGTGGAGAAAGGCAGCACAGACTTGCAAAGCCCTGAGCTACGTCAAAAATGCATATTTTACAGGGAATGTGCTTGATACACCTTGAAATTCTCTGCACCCGAATTTACTGGCCCCTTGATCTACTGCAGGGTAGCAGACTCCTGGGAAAACTGAAGTCAATTATTAACAGGCTACCTGCCATTGTGTAGGCTGCCAAAAAGCCTCATTCTGTCCACAAAGTTAAGTAGGGAAATAAATGCTCATCCTCTAGTTTTGTCCCAATCCAAACAAACAGAAGTTTATTATTTTCTAAGGAATTTAAAAGCCAGGAATACCATTTTCCTATAGTAACTGAATAAAATTTCAAATTCAAGCCAAAAGGGCTTCCCTGGTGGTGCAGTGGTTAAGAATCCGCCTGCCAATGCAGGGGACACGGGTTCGAGCCCCGGTCTGGGAGCAACTAAGCCCGTGTGCCATAACTACTGAGCCTGTGCTCTAGAGCCCGCAAGCCACAACTACTGAGCCTGCGCTCTAGAGCCCGTGAGCCACAGCTACTGAAGCCCACACACCTACAGCCCATGCTCCGCAACAAGAGAAGCCACCGCAACGAGAAGCCCGTGCACCACAACGAAGAGTCGCCCCCGCTCACTGCAACTAGAGAAAGCCCACGTGCAGCAGCAAAGACCCAACACAGTCAAAAATTAAAAAAAAAAAAAATTCAAGCCAAAATAACTTAAAAGTCAGGAAGACTATTTTTCTAAGATGGCTGGATGCAACCAGCAATTGAAATAACAGAGAAAAATAATAACACCAGTATTTTTTTCATATAACATCTAAATAAAACATTCACTAAATCCATCTTTCAGCAGTTACCATAGTTCACTCCAACACTCATCTGACCATGTCCTTGACTCAACAGTTTCCCAAGAATGCCATGGTCTAAGCGAGGCTCGGCAAACTCTGGCTCTTGGACCAAATCCCCCTCGCTATGTAAAGTTTTATCAGAACACAGTCACGCCCACTCATTTACACATTGCCTACGGCTGCCCTGTGCCACCGGTCAGAACTGAGTAGTTGCAACAGAGATCTGGCCTGCAAAGATGAAAATATTTAGTATCTGGCCTGTCACAGAAAAAAATTAGCTGATCCCTGGGGTGAAGAATAAAGACTTGAGCTTTTAATACAAAGCTTTTCCAGCCCCTACCTACCTTTCCCATTTCATCTTCATTCCAGCTCATCCAAACCCCTATGGCCTTGTCCCACTGAACCAGGCTCTACTCCCTGAAAATGCCACGCTCTTGTACAGGCACCTGTCCCCCTGCGACCAGAGACATCTTTCTCTCCTTGACCTGGTATAAACTCATTCAGCGCTTTAAATTCAACTCCAAGGTCATCTTCTCTTTACATGCTCTCCTGACCCATGCAGGCTGAGATCGCCACTTCTTTATTAATTTCCATGGGCCTATGTTTCAGTGTTGACACGGTCATTATTTACAACCATCACCTTCATTATTAAATCACTGGGCGCCTCCATGTCTGGCACCAGGTCTTATTCGTATCAGTAGCCTATCACGTAGGAACCCTCAGAGAACCGCTCAATAAATAAACATATGCTAACTGGTTGACTGATTTGGTCACTCAGACCTCCACAGGGCTGGGGATAGAAGTTCTTCCGTTTACCGTTATTTCAGATTACAGCTGGCAGAAGACTCCACATGTATCACTTGGCATCATACTCAAATCACAAGCCTAGTAAGAGGTTTCCAAAATCACTTACCAATGAATTACGATCAGCTTCTTCGTAGGGATTTTTTGCTCTCCAAGGTAAATGAGGACACCAATTTTCAACCTGAAAAATAGAAATCAGAGACACTGAGTATGCTGGTGCATCTGTAAATGAATTAATGTCTGTGCAAAGTTCCAAGCACAGTTCCTGGTACACAGGAAGTGGGTTAAGTGGGTTATTACTGTTACCGGTCAGACTCCCACACTTTTAGCTAGCCATCCAGAGGCAGGGCCCCTCTCAGATGAAACAATAATTAGCCAAGGTCCCAAGGAGCGTATCATGACACTTCACATCTGTCCTTCAAAGACTTCACAGTGACTGATTCCTTAATCATTTAATCCTCGAACTTCTACACAGAAGGAGAGGGGGTCTTGCAGCAGAAAGTTAAAAGACTTGAACACTGCTGCCAGGGAATGGGAATGCAAAGGTGCCTCTGTGCTATTTAGCAAGAGGACAGGAATGACTCGTTATCTGCTGTGGTGTGGTGGGCACGGAAACATCAAGGCATATGAGCCACAGAACTCCATCGTGTATCACCAAATTAGGAATGCAACAGAGAGTTTAAGGCTAACTGATCAAGGCTTCCCCTCATTTTCTGGCTGTTCACTTCACACTAACTCAAGGAACAGGGTGATAAAACCTATTGGAAACAGAGATGAAAGAAAAAAAAAATGCCGCAGCAATCTTGTGAGAGCCATTCTGGAAGATGGACTGTTCTGTCAATGCACTGGAGTTTAGAGAGCTGGGGGAGGAGGAAATTTACAGGAACGACTTCAACAAAGGTTAACAAAGAAAATTAGGCAAATTCACACTTTCTAGTAAATGAAAAATGCACTGAGCAATACTGATGTCTGACCTCTTTGCCAAAACTGGCCATATAATTCCAAGATAGCATGTCACCCATTTATTAATATATGAGGTTATTAAAGATGGTTAATAAACAGGTGCTGAAAATAATGTTTCTGGGGCCAGGTGGACCTATAAAAATGAAGAGTACAAGAGGGTGGGGGGCATCCTTGGAGCGCACGGGGGGAGGCAGGGAGGCGTGTGAGGTCAGAGCTCCTGGGTCAGCAATGCACAGTCACACAAGCTGGTTGGCCCTCCAGCTCCTGGTGAGTTTTCAAAGAAACAAAGCAGTTTCACTACTCTAGAAATATCTCTTAAAGCAAGGTGATTTTGACTAGGACCCGAAATAATTGGGCAATCTGCATAAAGCCCTCTGCCACTGCAAATGATCTGAAAGTAACAAGCAGAGGGCAAAAGCTTGGGGGAGGGTGGAATTCCTGGATAGGAAAAGTACACAATATTCTGTTTTCTTTTTGTGGAGTGAAATCAGACTTGACCATATTTGTGAATGACTTCAGAGACTCAAAAGGACTCCTCATAAGAAAAGTTGCAGTGGTTTTTACTCATAAAAAAAAGAAAATACTAACTTGCCTGGAATGCCTATGTCTAAATACTGAGCCCTTATACAGCAACATCACCATGAAAGGCAAAATCACCAAAGAAAAGCACTCTATTGACACAAATGAGAAAAGTGAGAGAGAAGCAGCAGAAAAGAGGCCACCAAGGGGATGAAGCCTCGGCTGGTCCCAGCAGCCTACACACGACACACCTGTGTGCCTTGTGTTCTCAGGCCGGACTGAATTATTTAATTCAAATTAAATTTTTGTAAATGGACTCAATAAGACAGTGCTTTAAAGCATATTTGTAACATGAAGGCTTCAGATGGATTGTAGACCTGATTGTGAGACCTTCCACCGCACAGAAAAAAGCATGAGGATGCGCAAGCAGGGTATGGATTTGTAGTCAACCCCACACTAAATAAATAACAAAATGTACACAGCAGCATGTCAGGATAAAAAATGTCCTCATGAAGAGCACGATAGGGAAAGATGAAACACGACTATGAATAAAGCGAACCAACCCAAAGGAGAGACGTGAGTGAGGTCAGGTAAAGGAGAGTACATTCACTCCTCTGCCCTTAGAAGAATCTTCTGAAATTTACTCGCAGGAAAATACAGTCCAAGGTGATCTTCTAAAATACTGGCTTCCCTACAGAATACTCAAGACTTTAATTCCTCTTTGAAACTGATCTTTATCTTAGTTCTTCTTACTTTAAATCACTGGATAATACTGGGCAAGATTTCAAGGGCAACCCTGAAAGAATGGGAAATGGAGTCTGCCTATTTTAGCTTTTAGCAAGAAATCGTAGCGTTACACATTCACTCATGATGGAGGAGAAACCAATTCTGGACGTCCTGACACAGGAGTACAGTGGGTTTTTAGGGTGGCTGTTTTTGTACACAGTGATAGGATAACTGGTTAACGAAATAATTAAATTATACATAAACCAATTACTCCACAGGGAGAGGGGGAAAAAACAAACCCATTTCTTTCTGAAACCTCGGAGGGTTACCAGGATTGGAAGAAAGCCAGCACCTGCAATAACTCCACCGACTGAAACAAAGAGCCCTCAAATGAGCAACATATTCCTAAATAAGAATCGTTAATAACACTCAGGGAGAATCTTGCTCAGGGCTAATAATTCACCCTCCTCATCCCTAACTGTTTTGTCTGATCTACCTTGGCTCCTTCAGTGAGTCTAACCACCCAGCACAGCATCCTACCAAGACAGCTGGATCCCAGAATGAGCCCACTGTCTTCCTGATCTGGAAGCTCTTCTATTTCAACTCATTCTTACAATCTCTTTTCCTGGCTCTCAGAACCCTAGTGTCCTAGGTCTGCCTGTGGTCATCTTCCTTCACCTACTGCCTTGGCTATGCGTTTTTCCAGCTGTGCCCTTGGTGCTCTCCTTGGGACAGGATCTGTGGCACCGGACCCTCCCACTGTCTACCCTGACCTCTACCAGACTCCTGCAAGCTGGCAAGTCCTCCATCAAGCCCTGTGCCAGGGAAGGGACTGGACAGCCTTAAAATAGTCCACAAATCACCACAGTAAGTCTAAAAATTGAAAACCATCTGAGTTCACGGCAATACGTACACAACAATCGATAGAGGAGCAGAACCATGACTCTATTAACCTTCAATCTGAAGGCGAAACTTCTACAGGAACTAATCTTTTTAGTGCACTAGACTCGGGCTACGAAACGAAGAGGCAGCAGAAACAGAAAAGACCAGCCAGGCTAGACCTTTGGAACATTAAGGTGTCTTTCACAGAGAGGGCACAATGAATCACTTTTCTTGAGCAAGGAGATCTAAAATTAACCAATTTTATTTTTGACATTCCTCCTCCCAATGATGTAAACTTCTTTGATCTGAGAAGGTTTTACAGCTTCATCACATACAATGTGAATCAACGCAGAATTCCTAAACAGACCTCAAACTTACTTTCAAGTTCCGTAGGATGGACAATTCATTACATTTACGAAAAAAGAAACTGCTTATAGAGATTCCTACGGCTCAAGTTGGAATTTAAAGGGGGAAAAGAAGAAAATTAGAGCAAAAATGAGGAGATTTAACGTATATATGTGTGTACTTCGGTGTAACTGGTCTAACTCTCTGTAGTAATGTTCTGTTCTTTTGAAAGAATAATAATCAGACTCCATTATGGCCTCTTCTCTCATGCTTAATGTGAAAGGTTTTGCTTTAATGGATCACTGACATAGAACTTCACGCTGTTCTTTTCCCAGAGTAAGTGCAATCAACACTAAATGCGCAAAATGCCTAAGAAAAGTCTGAGGTTATCTCTGGATATTGGCGTCATGGGTCCTTTGCTTTTTCTTCTGTATGTGAATCTTCATATTACGACTTTTTTTTTTTTTTTTACAATGAACATTTCTTAATCAAATAAGTTTTAAAGGCATTACATTATATAAGCATACAGTCATTTACTGAAGGTTTACAGTTCAGGGAAAAAAACAAATGAACTTGACTGCATCCCATCATTTAATCCCCTGAAGTGCCCTAGGACGTGGGTACCATTGCCAGGTTGCAAGTGAGGAAAGCAAGGCTTAAAGGGGCTGAGAACTTGCCGAGGTCCACTCACTAGTGAGCAGCAGGGCTGGGTGATGACTGAGATCTGTCGGTTCCTGGACCAGGACGTGTCAGAGCCACCGTAAAGGCCAAGCTCAGTGAAGGGCGAGGATAAGAGAGCTGCGCAATGTGGAATCCACCAAAATGAATTCTATGCCCAACTCCACAAACAGCTGGGGGGATAGCCTCAAACCATTTGACTTTCAAGTTTTCTCATCTACAAAATGAAGGTGCTGGCTTGGGTGACCTCTTAGTAATTCTATTAGCTTTAAGGTCTGAAAAAGATGGTTGGACATCATCCTGTCAGGCTAGTTGGTTACATACCAAAAGGATACCATTGACTATATCTATTCATTTGATCCACTGATGATACACACGTATATACATCCACACAGATTTGTTGAACTGATGACATATCAAATGTAGTTACTCATTAAGGGGCATGCTTTTAAAAAAGACTTCTTTACTGCACGCCACTCCCCTCCCTGGCCTACTCCCCTGTCTCAAGTTTTGAACAGGAAGTGCACATGGTAAAGGATGTCCACACATGTGAGTGGCTCTGCTATCTGGGCTCATCCTCTCCATCAAACACCTGAGATGATGAATATTTGGGCCAAATTGCTTATTAGGAAAGGTGCCTGTGGGGTGAGTAGAAGACGAAGAAGAAAAGCGACAATATGCTAGGAGCCAAGCCCTAGGAAAAGCGCTTCACACACATCATGTCCTTCGGTCTCCACATAATCCTCTGGGCAAGGCCCATCATGACAGATAAACACAGAGGTGCAGGGCAGCCCCACAGCTGGGGACGGAAGCGCTGTCTGTCCTGCACAGGGCCGTACACTTAGCAGAGAAGCCAGACGTGTGGTTCCTGCAGTCCCACGAGCACAGTCCAGCCTTTGATATTAGAGTATGATCGCCTAGATCTTCTCTACAAAATCCTTCAGAAAGGGTTTACTCTGCTCCTATTGCAGGACAGTGCTGGAAGGGCCATGAAAGTGATGGGAACTCCCTGCCTGCAGCCCTCGCCCCTGATGTCTCTTCCACGGATAAGGGGTGATTGTTTCAAAG